GAGGTTTGGAGCAGGCATTCTGTGGGCAGGCGGGGCATTCTCCTGGTTGGAACTTCTCCTGGGAGCGGTTTCCGCAGACAGTTCTTGGGTGAGCCTGTCTGCAAGGAGGTCGAAGTCGTCAAAGGAAGCTGTCGCTTGTAGCTCCTTGGTCCAGGCAGCCTGCCACGGAGTGGCAGCCCTCACCATCGGCTGCTGGCCTTCATGGTCCTCAACCTCTTCTGGTGCAGGCTCAAAGCCTGCATGGTCGGCCTGCCGTCTATCTCGTGAGTCAGGATTCCCTTTGGTTGGGTGCTGGGGCGGGATCTCTGGCGGGATGCTGGCGTTACTAGTAGTCGGAGAGACGCAGTCCGGCTTGGGGGTTGCTGGGACACCACTGGTCCTTCTATGACTGGCTGCTGCCTGGGCGGTTGCTGCTGGAGTGTGAGATCTCCCATAGGCAGTGTCCCGCAGAATGGACTCGGGGGCTGTGCTGGACCGTCTGGCGATGAGGGCCCCGTGCTTTCCTGTGGCTGCGGGGCTGGTTCCTCCAGTCTGGAAGTCTGGGAGCTCGCAGGGTGGTCTGATGCTTGGTACTGGCTCCTCCAGCAGTTGGAGTTCGCAGGGCGGTCTGAGGTGAGGCTCTGGCTCCTCCGGCGGTTGGAGTTCGCGGAGTGGTCTGAGGGGCGGTGCTGGCTCTTCCGGCGACAGGATCTCGAGCAGCTATGCACAGTGGGGTGCTGATCCTTCTGGGGACGGGGACGTGCTGGGCAGGGGACAAGGTAGTACTGAGTCATCTCAATATGGAGATTTGCTTGGCGACGTGAGAGGGTGAGACGGGCCTCCTGCTGGCGAGGACCTGGGTGGTGTTCCCCGCGGCAGCAGGTACCTTCTTGATCGCAGCACCCCGTTGCGCTGGTCTGGCGATGGGGGCAGGCTTCTTGACGGCAGCTTGCACAATCGCTTTTCTTTGTTGAGGCTCAGGAGCAGCGGGCCGGCATGCAGCAGGAGGGCTGGGAGCCGGGGCAGGAGACTGTGTTGTTCCCTTGAGGCGTTTCCTGCAGGCGACTTGGTGTGTCTTGCGTTGCTTCTGCGTCTCGAAGGGCAGGCTGCAGAGGACACAGCTGAAGGCGACCCGCTTGCTGTGGCATCTCTTCAGGTGGCTGGTGATGCCACCGAGGAGGTGGAAGCTTCGGGGCGGAGAGCAGATGGAGCAGGTGAGCACGTCCGCAGCGAGGGGGTACTGCAGGTAAATGGTGTCCTTATTCCCTTGCAGCGGGGGGGTTCCAGCAGCATCAGCGGTATTGCTGGCTGGTTCATCCTGGTGTGGGTGGGTAGGATCGAGAGGTCCGGCTGGGCGGGCAGCCGGCAGGGACCTGGGGTCCCTCTGGGTGGTTTCTGAGGCTGGGCAGGCATCCGGCGAGGCGCTGGTGACCCTTTGGGGGGTCTCTGGAGAGATGCTGGTCCCGTCTATGGAGTTCCTCTCTTGATGGTGTGTAGAGCAGCGAGAGCACCACCAGCGTCAGGGACCTGGGCAGCTGCGGGGGTGGGAGATGGTCGCCTGAGAGCATCTTACAGCTGCAGAGTGGGGGGGCTCTCCATTGGCGGCTGGTGTTGCTGGAGAGCGGGGGAGCTCTCGGTCAGCAGCTGCTGTAAGGTGAGGGGGCTGTCCCTCGGCGGCTGGTGCTGCTGGGGCGTGGGGGGGATGTTCCTTCTGGTTGTGATGTCCCGACAGGCCGGCCTCAGAATGCAGGATCTTCCTGGAACAGCATCTCGGAGGGGGTCCTTCGAGCAGCCACCGTTCTTCCCCTTCGTGCTGCTGGTCTGTAATGTCCTGGAGGCACCTAGGACCTTCTTTGTAGTCATTGTCCGAGAAACGTTCTGTGGAGCAGCAGCAGTGGTGGTGGTGGTACACGGTGCAGCTGGGGATGTCTCAGGAGCAGAGAGAGGATTTCCTTCCAAGGTAGCAGCAGGAGAATACACCTTCAAAGCAGCATCAATTTTTTCAAAAATAGCAGCCGGAGAATCCATCTTCAGTGCAGGTGTTGCAAGTGTTCATAAGAAGAGATTAACTGATAAGAACAGATACTACACTTGATCTTAGCTCATAGAGCCGAAAACCTGTGAACATGGGTAACTTTACTCACAAGCCTAGTCTCATTGAAGTCTTATACATAAACATTTGCATGATTGCCTGACTGACTTTACAGAGGAAACCATGAAACTGACTAGACACAAAGTGTTGCCAAACGCAGAAAGGCCCCAATACAGCAACACATTTAAGCACATGAGTAAGTCCAAATGACGTTAACTAAAGCAAGTGGTTAAGTGCTTTGCTAAGTAGGAATGGCTTTTTGCATAGGGTCCAAAGTAGCAAACTGTAAAATTAAAAGAAATAATAATGTTTTCTTGAATTTCAGTTACAGGAATCTTAATTGGTACTTGTAAAAATAGTAGGTGAAATGCATTCCAGAGACTACTGTGATTATAAGTTGATGTGTTCCTTTAACAGTCCTAAAATCATTCATCTTATAAAAATCCAGCCACACTATTTGATTCAATAACCTACAGCAGAAAATAACACTTCACATAACACTCTTCTTTCTTCCGTTCTTGAAGGTGTCATCCTGCTTGGTAGAATGCGGACTCTTCCTCAGTGGATGTTAGAACGGGTGCATGCAGGTAAGTCTTGAAGCTGGAACTGGATGAGACTTGGTATCACTAACTACAAGTCCTGGTCTAGCTACAGGTTCACCTAGGGTAACCAGACAGCAAATGTGAAAAATCGGGACAGGGGGTGAGAGGTAACAGGAGCCTATATAAGAAAAAGACCCAAAAATTGGGACTGTCCCTATAAAATCCGGACAACTGGTCACACTAGGCTCACCTCCACTGGCTCCTAATGTGAGAGACTGTCTGCCACTCAGATGGACAGCCCAGAGTAACAGTTGAGCTACCCCTTAAGTAACGTGTGGTTGCTGAGCAGACTAGGCTGTCACATGATCTAACCTTTTTCCGTGCTAATGTGAAAAAGGGGGCCAAACTATCCATGAAGGAAGGTGTTCAAAATGGAGTCCTAGTTGTTGTTTAGCTAATCCAAGATGGAGACTGGGGAAACCATGTCAAAACAGATTTCAACCTAACAGTGTCTTCCTTGCTCCAGGATGCAAGCTAGCTAAATTAAAGCTAGCTCAGGTATGACAGCTCCAGCTGCAATCATGCCCAGTGACTGCAGTGTAGATACACTGGTAAGTGCTTAGTTCTCCAACTTTAACAGGCCCACTATTCTGTGAGGTGTTTGTTTAAAAGGGCTTCACTCCAAATAAGAGATATGCAATGATTATCTGAGAGTGGGTTTAAAGGGACATTGGACCCCAAATGTCGCTTTCCTTCAAACTGATACAGTCTGGTATGGAATTACTTCCAAAATATCTTCCCCTCTCCTTTCCCATCCCCTGACCCAAAAATCTGTCACTTTCAGAGAAATGTACTAAAAAATGTTGGTGTTTATGGAAGACCAGGCTACAGAGCCAGTCAGCCATACTGCCAGTGAGAAAGGAGCAAGGACAGCCAGCAAGGAGAGTTAACTAATGAATCTGTTGTCTCATTCCATAGGTGCCATCTATGGTGATGTTAGCATATGAATAAATAAGTTAAACAAAACAAAAGAAATGTTGACACTTTGCTCCATAAGAAAGGACTTGTCTACGCATACAGAGGTGCAGGGGGATGCAGCTACACCACTGTAGCGCTTAGTGAAGAAACTACCTATACCAACAGGAGAGCATCTCTCATCGACATAGGTACCCCACCTCCTCAAGAGGCAGTAGCTATGTTAACTGGAGACGCTCTCTTAATAACATAGTTCGGTCGGTATAACTGTGTCGCTCATATACCGACATACGTGTGTAGTGTAGACAAGCTAAAGGGTTGCCGAGAGAAAGACAATAAGTGTGGTAAGGGAAAATACTGTTATTTTTTCTATTTTAAGAAAGTTTTCCAAACAACTGAAAAGTAAAAGAAAAAAAAGCAGAAAAATTAAAAAGTGAAATGACAGTATTTTATTGTGACTTCACGATAGAGTCCGTATATTGACTGTGTAATAGATTTATTCTGATCTCAGGCAATGTGTCTTATTATCTGTATAATTCTATAGGTGTGCATGGTGTTATACAACAGAAGTGTACCAAACGAAGAACAGGGAAAGAATTTATAATCGAAAGGCATGAGCAGGTACAATACACTGAAATGCACAATACACTCCGTGTGACCCAATGGACTTCATAACTGGAATACTTCATGAAACATGCACTTTCAGAACATAGGAAACGTGAATTTTACATATTATTCAAAATTCATATCTTGTCCTGTATGTGAAATTCTGATTGAAATGAAAGTTTATTTTCTAATGAAGGCATAACTGTAAAATTAGGGTTTATCCCTTATGGAGAGACATGATCCATCTGGTTTTACATTGTACACCATGTCATTCTTGAGGTGTCAGAGTCCCAGGATCTTTGCTTTCATAAGAATCTCTTGAAACCAGTTTACATCCAAACATTTGAAACAATTATGTCAGCACTACTTTAGCTTCCATCTGTAGAAAAGACAACCGTTATTTTTCCCCTAAGTACAGTTTTATGACCTCTAAGGTCCTTTTTGAATCATTACAATCTTTGCAAGATCTTTGGATTTTTCCCAAACATCATGAGCCAGATTCTGCCCCTACTTGCACTTGTGTTTCTCCAGTGACTTCAACAGCACTATTTGGTAATTATAAAAGTGAGGCCAGAGTTTGGCCTTTAATAACTAGTCTATTTTATTAGCTTTTAACTGTTTGGGCCCTAGCCTGAGCTGGTGCAAATAGAGCTGTGTGAATTTTCTTTGACTGAAACTCTTTTTCCATGAAAAATGCAGCTTCAGAGACAACTAGACATTTTTGCTAATTCATGGTGAATTTTAGTGGAATAAGATCAAACCCTTTAAGTGTAAAGAATGATTAATTAGTTCTTACCTGCATTCCTCAAAATCTTAGTTGCAATATCTTCTTCGTTCTGAATTGCTTGGTTCCTTCCTAGGATGCATTCCTGCCAAATTGTCTTCATCAGGTCAGTGCACCTCCTGAACATGCCTCCAGTGTTGTACATAATTGTGTAAACTGCCTCTGCTGTAATGTTGCCCACCTGAGTGCAATTCATAGATCCAAAAATTAGAAAGTTAGATGAGATGCGGGCTTTTTTTAGGGTTGTGTGTGTTGTATATGTATGATTTAGGAAAGCAGGCAACAAAATACACATAAATGACTCTGGAAAAACTGAATCAATGTTCACTTGTAACAAAGGAAATACTTTTAAATATAAAAACTAGTGTCATAACTAGTGTCTGAACTCAGCAAACCAGTCATGTATTTGATATTGTCACAGTTTGTTTCCAAGTCATCAGAAATAATTATGCAAGATAAGCAATTTGGTCAAGAAAAACTACTTTAGGGAATTAAGAGGTTAATTTTAATATGAGTATAAATTTAATAGGGGACTGTAAACAGAGAAAGCAAGTTGGAATTACTGTGTGTGTGTATATCTTTATTCATCAAGTCACAGTAAGCAGCTTTGCTGACTTCAGAGCATGCAGTACACTAGCTAATGTTACATGTACCCCACTGCCCTCTGTTGGAAAGATTGTGTCAGAGCTTTTAACAAGTAAAGCATGTTAATTCCTTCTAGGTTGAGTTAGTGGAGCTGTTCTTTTGACTCACCAGGTTGACTATTTTTTGGACACAGAAGCTGTAAATTTTAATCTCCATGCTGTGTGTTTGTGGTTAGCTAATGACCCTGGTGTGTGTTTGTGTATACACAGTCACAGAATGCTCTAAGCTCTCATCTGCAAATAAGACTTTTTAATATAATGCGTCATTCCCTTCAGAACTATTGGTATTGTTTGAAGAAAAGGCATCAAATTGCCATCTAGCAAATTGAAATCCATGCCAAAAGCTACCTGCAATAGAAATAAATAAAATGAAGCAATACAATGGTTTATTTCCCCCAGCTACCAATTGTAAATGCACAGACACAGCTATCACTGGTAACCTGCAAAAAGCCTAACAAAGTATAACAGGAGCAGTAGAGGGTCACAGAAATGGGATATGCTAGAAGTGGATTTTAATTTAGACAGTGCTGGATTCTCCTGTTGAGCTGGCAGTAAGAACAGAAGGGAATATTTACAGATTTAGTTTACCTAGGGATCAATGCTTGGATTTGTAAACTAAATAAATAATTAGTGGCAGCTTACCTTTAAGCCACTGGTATATAGAACATCAGAGACTTACAGACTAGAAGTTATTTACAGTTGTCTGTATACTTTTGTGGGTTGAGAAATAGGAGTTGGGGCCCTATTAAAGTATTCAATAGTGTTTAGACTTGTCATTTAGAAGTTGATCAATAATATCTGAATTCAGTGTTGCCATTGAATTACAAGTGGCTTGCAACAGGATACATCACAGACACTAATTGTCACCTGTTTGTTCTGGAACTCTGGGAGGGGAAAAAAGGCAAGCAATTGGCTGAATTAATAATGGCAGCAGCATTTTCAGAAGTGGGTGAGGACAAGAGCTCTAATGGTGACGAGAGAAACTGGTGGCCCTGAATATGGAATATGGTTGAAGGATTTTTTTCTTAAATACTGAATTTGCAAAGAAACAGAGACAAAACAGGATGTGTGCATTAGGCCCTTGCCAGAAGCATCCACTGTATAACTTGAGGGATGAGGTGTTAAATTTCAGTGGAAAATTCAGTTGTTCGTTGCCTGATTATTGCTCCTTTACATTTTAAATTTCATGTAATCAAACAAAATTTTTAAAATAGATAGATCTGGTGCAGAGAGATCTTATGCAACATAAGTTTCCACGGTGAAAAATAGTTGTAGGAGAAAGATAAGATAAAAGGTAGGAGAAAGTTTATAAACATCCCTCTTTGCTATTTTGAATACTTTAATTTACTTTTTTTCTGCCTTTGTTTTTCCTTATTTTCAGGAATGGTTTCCAGGGCTCTTGAGACCTGTTCTTTTGCAAGGATAGCAGAATTGCTGGTATCTTTGAATCCTGTTTAAGTGAATGGTGACAGGAACTGGTATTCTGTGTAAAACTTAAAATGAGCTTCCCCATGAAAGCTGTTGTTGGCTATCTCTTGATACGAGGACGATGTCTGCAAGGGGGAAAGCCCCAGGAAAGTACAGTGGATCTGTGGCCCGAATCAGACACATGCATGCCAGCAAAATGTTCACCTTGCTTTACAAGGGAAAGGTAGTTCCAGTTCTACTAAGCATCTTGAATTAGCAAGGCTGTTTTTATTGCAAAGGAAGTTCAGTCAAGTTTTACAGTTGGGCCTAATCACTGTAGCACTCCCACAAGCTGATTAAATTTGTTGCCTGCAGAACACGGCAATCAAAAACCTACAAGCATTGATCAATAGAACTGAATTGCACTGTCAGGGCTTTCCTGAAGTCATCTGTTGTCCCCTGCAAAAAATCACTTGGTTAATTACCAGTCTGAGTCCACCCTTTTGCCATGTGGACCTGAGTTCTGGAGGCAGTGCCACGAGTAGCCCATTGGGGGCCCTAAGTAGGAATATTTCCCCCCAAAAAACAACACATGCTAATAATTAATAGGGGGCCACCTGGAACTGCTCCGGGCCTGAAGCAGTTGTCTGCTTATACCTAACACTGGCTCTGACTGGAGAGGATAAAGTTGTCTCCTCTCCCAGTACTGCACCTCTCATCTCTTAAGGATGGGACTCTATCCTATCCTAAGCATTCTATCTAAGCCTATGCTTCACCACAGGGACGTATGATATGAAAGCTGCTACTCCCACGTCATTTCTTTGGGGCCCAAGTGCAAGTGCAGAGCCACTGATTCTGCGTGCCTTTACAGGAGGCCCCTGCTCTGGCACTAGGGGGTCTCCAGGCAGACTTGGAATGGGATGGAAGAGATCAGATGGCCAGGGTGTTCTTATGCCATGGAAATTTCATGCCTCTGCAGTGCCCATTTGCCTCAGGAGTTAGGGCAAGCCTCAGAGCTGCCCTAGCCTATGCCAGAAGCCAAGATGAGTCTAGGCTTCTCATGAATAGGAGATGCAAATCTCGGTTCTGTCCCTGCTCCAGATCAGGGATGAACCTGGCCCTTAACTGGGAACTATGTAGGTAAAATCTTGTGCTCAGCTTGAAATTAAAACATTTAACGTGCCTAGTCCCCTTGTACCTCCTAGTGCTATGGTTAAGCACGTTTCTCTCTTCCTCATCCCTCTGCCTCTCAGCACATATCCTGTTTAGTATGACAGCTGGACTGCTGAATCCTCCTCCAGCCAGTCGTTGTCACAGTTGGCTGCTTTGATAATTACAAAAGCCTGTTCTAAAGTGGGGCTGTAGCTGCTAAGTAGCCTAGGCAGATTGCACTCCAGCCAAGGCACTAAGAACAACAGCAAGTTGCCGTGCAGCAGTAGAGGGTATCAGTGATTCTGCGTCCTTCTCCCAAAGCTGCAAAATGCTGGGGGCCATCTGTCCTGGTACACAGTTGATAAACACATCTGAGGAATCAGCAGGCAAACATAATTCTCCTAAACCACCACTGACAGGAGCCCGCACATCATCCATTCCTTGCAATGCTGCTGTAACAGCTCCAGCCTCTGCTACAGTGCATCTTAAATCCCTCCCTCCATCCTCTCCTATGCTTTCCACAAATCCTTGCTCTCTTGGATTCATGCTGCTTGACCCTCCATTTGCATTCATCTCTTATGTTCTAATCTGCTTTGTAAAGGCTGCTCTCTCATCTGTATCACTTTGTTCTTTAATCTGATAGTTGAAGCACTTTCAGATGTTTTCCTACACTGTCTCACATATATACTGTTAATCTTTTTAAAATAAAATATCCCCTTAGAATGAAAAATGTCTCTCTGTTGGTTCTGCCTTTTTCTGTTTGGAAAACATTTCTCTCCCCACCATCCCTGTATTTGAAGTTTAATATTAAATGTGTCTTTTTGACTTCCTCTGGGCTTTAATTTCATTTTGGTTTGGAAGGAGGATCTAGCTGAAGATGTAATGCAGCTGGACAATTAGCCACTATAAATAGCTTTTGAAAGGGCTGGGAGATGCGTAGACCCCATGAACATCAGATCTGTGGCAGATTTGAGATTCAATCTCAACAGTTTCCTGAATAATCTGTGTCCTCCTAAGTAATTTACTGAGCCAGCCTTTTTTAAAAAACAAAATCGCCTAAACCATATATACTGTCTGTGTAACAGGGTGGTTTGCTTCTTAAGGTAGAGGCCCAGGGCCAGCCAACCCTGATTACTAAGGAGTCAGACCTGAACAGGGATCACCTGGTTCCCTTATAAACAGCAGCAGGAAGTCATAGGAGTATTCTTAGAACAGAGTGGAGGATAGAGGCTGCTGGGAGTGAGCAGGCTTCAGCCTGGTGCTTGGGGAGTGAGCCAACAGGCAAGAAAGGGTTGGAGGAGGAAGAGGGTAAATGGAAGGACTTGAAAACTTTATTTTGAATGCTTTGTTAATTTAATAAACCAGAACCCAAGAAGAGCTGCAAATGGACAAATGAGTTATTGAAGAAGCCCCTGGTAGGAGGCAACTAAAGTGGGGGTACTTGTAGGGATATCTTGAGACCATGAAAGGGCACATCAGGGGGTGGCCACCCACTGACTGTCCTCCTAATAGCAATCTTCAGACCTGTAAATGTTGTTGCTCATAAAGATTTACAGACTGCGTGGGCTGAAAATGGGAATCTGCTGTTCTCCTTTATTACTGCCCTGTCCTATGTAGGTCTGTCCAAGTGACTTATTTGTACTAAGTGTCACAGAATGAAGGGACATCAATGTAAATTACTTAATGGTGGAACTGGAAAGAAATCATGTGACATTAAACACCAGTGGGTGTTCATTACCTGCTAGACCAGGAGTGGCCAACCTGAGCCTGAGAAGGAGCCAGAATCTACCAATGTACATTGCCAAAGAGCCACAGTAATATGTCAGCAGTCCCCTGTCCACAGCACCTCCTGCTCACCCAATCAGACCTCCCCCTCCTTTCCCGCACCTCCTGATCAGCTGTTCGCTGGCATGCAGGAAGCTGTGGGGGAGAGGGAGAGGAGTGAGGGCATGGCAGGCTCGGGGAGGGGGTGGAAAGG